ATCTTCTGTCGCAATTATAGCCTGAACTTAACACAATATAGACTCAATCAGCTCATCTCATTTCAACTCCATTCAAAAGAAACGAAAAAACTCGATAAGCATGAACATGAAATAGTGGATCATTCTTGTTTGATTGTAGCTCATTCATCCAAAAGTGACAAGTGATTGGTTCATATGTATTGCTAGAAAGATATGATGATAAGTGTAACATTTAAGTTAATCCCAAAGATGCTTAACTGGATTGAAATATTGTGACTATAATGACCAGCAAAGACGAATGAAGTCATTGACATATTTTACAAACAAATTTTGAGCTATGCCAGCAGGATAGGTTGCGGCATTACCATTTCAGAAGATATGAAGATGAAAACGCAATATCGTGGTGCAGGAATGATCGACCATAACGCTCAATATTCTTGATGTTATTTGCTCTTACAAGAGTGTCAGGGATTCTTTCCACCAGAAAATCCCATCTTATGTCACACCAAATACTTTAATTTTCAGAGAACAATACAAATAGAGTCAAATGTCTCATTTTAACTGTACAGTCAACATAGAAAAGGATGAAAACAACTCATCAAATGATATCATACAGTTCCAGTCTTTCATGAAAACAGATTAAAGTCTCTGTTTATATTTGATATAAGCAGTTTATATATATATATACTTTGTTTTACATGGTACAGTTGGAAATAGTTGATTCCTGACTACTGCTGAAACAAAATAGATCATTTTGGACATCTCATTCCTGACTACTGCTGAAACAAAATAGATCATTTTGGACATCTCATTCCTGACTACTGCTGAAACAAAATAGATCATTTTGGACATCTCATTCCTGACTACTGCTGAAACAAAATAGATCATTTTGGACATCTCATTCCTGACTACTGCTGAAACAAAATAGATCATTTTGGACATCTCATGTCTTTTCAACTTGATAAATTTGTCCAATTGTTAAAACCAGCAGCTGACTGACAAACTATTTCGAACTGCCAGACGTGTTTCCTTTCGATTGCCGTAGTTTTTGAATGCAAATATCATTGAACAGTCAAATAAATAAATAGTCTTTGATGGCAATGTCCCCCCCCCCCCAAGATTGGCACTAACACTATTGTCCTTCGAAAATCAGAGATATTTTTTGCTCTGTCTAGAATATTATCTTGCAAATTAACCATTATATGACATCATTTCTGCACTTATAGGACAGAAGCTTCTATGTAGCACATGAAAATAAAAAAGTGTGTGTGTGGTGGGAGTCCTAATAAAGGGATTCGTGAAAGTGATACTCTGTCTAGAATATTACCTTGCAAATTAACCAATATATGACATCATTTCTGCACTTATAGGATGTTTGTTTTTGAATTTCGCG